AGAGTTGAATAATATTCCTAACAATTTCATCTCTTGAATTAGGGCGGGGATTGATTGCTCTAAATTTATTTTTCAAAACTCCAAAAAAATTTTCAATGGGATTTAACTGAGGTGAATAAGGTGGTAGGTAATCCTACCTTTATAAGAATCGATAAGATGGCTTCTATGGATAGATGCATTATCCATTACAATGATTGCATCTGGTGGTAGGATACTAATAAGCTCCGTCATAGAATCACGGAATAATAGCCCATTATAAGCTCCGTCTATTATTTTATAATGAATTACCCCTCCAATTCCGATTGTACAAAGGATACTTACATTTTTGCCCTTAGAGGATGGGATTTTTATTATTGGACGGACATTGTATGGCGCCCAGGCGTAGATTGGTACAACATGCAAGTTCATTCCAGTCTCATCTAAGAAATATAAATTTTCTCTTGGGATATTTAAGATCTTTGCACAATAAATTTGACGAATATTAATAGCCCCGGGAGTATTTCTTCTATCAGGCTCCTTGCCAGCCCTTTTTTTAGACCAACCAATATTTTTAATATATTTACTAATTGTGGTTTTTGTTTTTGGACTACCAGGAGGTAACTTTTCTATTATCTCCTGAATAGTCAAAGTGTTATTATCCATTAATAGGCTTATGATACTTCTTTCAATAATGGAAGAATCTTTCTTTTTACTTCCTCTTTTTTGAATATTATATTCCTTTAAAGGATCTCCATTTATTTCTGGGAATGTATCCCGTCTAAATTTGTGAACAGATGCAGTAGACATTTCGACATATTTTGCTATGTCTTTTATTTTCATTTGTTGTTTTTCCGGCATTGATAACATTTTGGTAACTATATCTAATTTTTCTTTATTCCAATATTTGTGTATTCTTTTTGGTCTTTGAATTCTCGACGAAGATTGGGAGTTTTCATTTAAATTGGAAAAATTAGTATTACTATTGGATAATAAAGATTCTATATTAAACATTTTTTTTTATTATTTAAGAAAAATTAAAAATAATTAATATGTAAGTATTTTAATTTTTTATTTTGAATTAAATTTTAACACATTTTTTTTATAATGATTAATCAACTATTAATCTTCTTAATTAATTGCTTGTCCATATTTAATTTCAATCTTTATTCTATTAAAAATAAAATCTTATTTTGTTTACCCCCTTTTATAGTATATTTAAACATGTGTATCGTTTCACTGTAATATAAAAATGAATGTAAAAAGTACTAGATTTCTATTAGATGTTAGTTACTAATAGTAGAATTATTTAATTTTTTCCTAAATTATTAGCAAGTAATTATTATAAAAGCTTATTAATAACTTATATATAAACTTGTTAATTTAGCCAAGAATAATTATGTGTGATTTTAAGATATCTTATCTAATTAACAGATAATTTGCCTTATCTCTAATAAAATAAGTATTTAAAGAAAAAAAAAATAAACTTGGTATTGATTGATATATAATGTTGATAATATAAAAATATTTAATTTGAAAAGAAATCACCAATTTGAAAAATGCCCCCGGAAAATTAAAATTTCAAATTTAGGTTAATAAATTAAAATTAAATATTTATAACGGTTCGGTTGGCTCTTTTTATATTTTCTTTATAACAGTTCGGTTAAGGTTACGGTTCAGAAAATCATAACGGTTCATTCCGGTTTGGCGGTTCGGTTCGGCTCGATACCCTGTGTAAAATTTTAAATACAAATTAAATTTTAATATGAAAAAAATAACTTTTTAATTTTTAACATTTTTTAGTAGTAATTTTTTTTATAAAAGTTACTTCAAACTAAATATCAATTCAAAATGTTAAGTAATAATTTTAGCACGTATAAAAATATTGACAATATTTATGTTAATTTAATATTTTGAAATTAAATTTTAATTAAATGTAAAGAACTGGGTTTGGCAGGGTGCGTATAAGCTATTTTTAAGCAAAGAATTATTTTTAATACAAAAATCCAACTATATTCATGAGAACACCTGAAGCCCTGAGTTTGAATAACAATATGAAGATGGTTGACTTGTTTTGTGTAGAATATATGACAGTTTTAAATTTCATCAAGTTCTTCAGAGTGATTTATTTAATAGATGAACCTATTTGTAATAAATTATATAGATTTAACATTACAACATTTTATTTTTATTAATTTACTTAGAATTAACATATTTATGTAGAAAAAATGAAAAAATCTAAAAAAGAACACACACCGCGAAAGACTAAAAGGTAACCCAGTTGTTTTTCAGAATTCTTAAATTTTTACTTTTTTAAATTTTATATTAATAAAAAACTAAAAGATTTTTTTCTTAATATTAATCTCTATCGTGGAGATATATGTAAAGAATAAAACGACTATTATTTTGTAAAATTTGCTTTATTTTTTATGGCACTTCAATGTTTTATGGACAATATAACCCCAATCTCCTCTACATATAATTCTTTGCCACATAGCAAATGTTTTTCTAGAATATGCAACCATGTAAAAAAGGTATCATGATAGGCGCAGCAACATCTGCACTGCTACAACTCGGCGCATTTTATTCAAAATTTAAAAAATAAATAAAAAATCTATTGGTTTTTTTTATTCCTTACACTACTCCTTAAGAGTCAATGTAATATTTTAACAAATTTTGATTAACAATTATTTATTAGATTAATCTCGATTAAATATAAATGTTTTGCTTAATTTTACTGCAGCTAAGTAACGGGATAAGGTCTGGTAGTTACTCCTGAGAATAATTAATCAGATACCAATGACTACACTGTCACTACAAATCAAATAAATACATTACTGCTAACTGATTCTTGATCCAAGCTAAGGCCTGACATGTACTAACGTTAAAGGAATATTAATTAATAATATAAAATATTTTGCTTAATTTCAGCAAAACTAGGATCGGGCTTAGACCTAGAAGCCGTTAAGAGTTGTTTTCACTCATTTATTAGATATTTGGTTTATCAAACTATAGCATTAAATAAAGGTTAGGTTAAAAAAAGTGACGCAAGAGGTGAGGTATATTACGACTCAGAGAAACAAAAAATTGAACTAAAATATATACCAGTTTGTTGTTTGAATGGTTTAAAAAAATGTTGGATCTTCTGAGCATCTCACTTTCAAAATCATATTTTATGTTAAAATATTACATTAACTATTATAAAGTGGAGTAGGGAATAAAAAAGTAAACTTTAGCAAAGTTTTTATATTTTATATTTTTTGGACAATTGTTTTTTTTAATACTTTGAACAAAATACGACGAACTGTTTATACATGAGCTGTAGAGTGGCTGAATATGTAATCATGATAGAAACAATTATATGTCCAGATTTTGTGATTTATTTTAATTTAAACTTTAAAAAATTTTTTGAATTAAAAATAACTAAGTTAGATATTTTTTTATATAGATAAAAATTAAATTATTAAATATTACTGTAGAGTATAAAATTGACCTCATAAATGTAAAAGGTGCGAGAAAGACCTGATCCTAAGGCCAGGCACAAATTTAGCCGGGCAAAAAAATAAATCCCAACCGGGCAGTGCCTAAAAATTTTATCGTTTTTACATCTAACAATTTATAACGGCATTTTTATACATTTATTAGAATTTATATTTGATAAGTTTACAGATTCTTTAGTTATTAGTAATTGTCAATTTTTTAGCCATAAATCCCAATAAATTTATAAGATTTAAGTTGTTAATTGATAACTTCAAAATAAATTTAGAATTTTTGCCCCCCTCCCCTTAAAGCAAATTCTTGGATATACGCTGATAGAACATGTTTATGCTTGGTACTTTATTCTTGCATAGTTATATTTTATTTTGAATAATGCAAATAATTATAAATGAATATTTATATCCATCTAAAATATACATTTTTATTATAATATATTTAATGAATAAGAGATGTATTATTTTTATTATAATATGCATAATGGGTAAGAGATTATATTTTTATATATGGGTTATTGCTGTGTTTGGAGTAGGTTAGAGGCATGTGTATACGTTTTTTATTTGATTCATTAGCTCTTTTCTTTATTATTATTTTCTTATAATACATAAAATTCCATTTTAAGAATGAATACATAACGTTTAATTACAATAAAAAAGTCACATTTTAAGAAACAACGAACCATATTTATTATTCCGATATTGTAAAACTACATTTTATTCAAAAGTTAGTACTTTATATATAAAAATTTGTTCTATATATATCAAAAATTATGTCATCATATCAAGTTATATATTAACGTGTTGGTTGAATTGATTTAAAACAAAAATAGTTAATGTAGATAATTTTAACGATCGAAAATAATGATATAAAAATAACAATAAAAATTTTAAATAAAATAAAATAGAAATATAACCTTATAGGGTATAAAAATTTGAAACAAAATAAAAACAACAATTTCAATTCAATCTAATTAAAGAGATAACAAAAAAAATAAAAGTTAGTTTTAGGTTACGAAATAAAAAATATAACAAAAATCAACATACACCAAGCATTTGCCTGTCGACATCAGTAATGATTATAAAATATATTATTTCTTATATGCGTCTCAAGGTGCCAACTATAATGTGTACGATCGAGGCTCATTATAAAATCTTCTAAGCGTCTGATGACGTGGTTGCTTAGTTTATTATCATATTTATTGTTTTTAATTATATTAGTTTTCATGTCATTGATTAAAATATGTACTTATCCATAGAATAATATAGATTCTCAGAATTAATAAAATTAATTGGAATTAGAATAAATTAAATATCCGATGTTGAATTATAAGAATATTGAATAAAATATTTATAATGATATTAATCCATAAATGAATAAGAATATATAATATTTTAATTTATAAAATTAAACTGTTTATAATTTTAATATGTTAATACAAGAAGATGTATTCAATCCTTAAAATCACAAGGAATTTTTAAAATTTGACTAGTTCTTCTATTGAAATATTATCTTTAAAACAAAATATTATTTTATAATCGAGTATCATGGTCATGATTATGACGATGGGGATGAGTTCGCGGCTTTCGAAAGTGATAATTTCGCCAAAATTTGTGAATTCTATTGATTTCAGAAGGGGTCATGAAGAGTCTGGCTAATTCGTCTGACGTTCTACCTTGCGTTTCTGGCAGATAGTTGTATGTAAAAAGCCAAAAAAGGGCCAGTAATACCGTGAACACCAGAAATATGTAATCCTGTAATGCCGACTGAATTTTATGGGGCATATAATAAATAATATAATAAACATTAAATATTTTATTTTATGTTATATATTATATGCATTTTATATAATAGGATAAATAATCAGGGAGTTCAACAACCCCCCTAAACTATTGAAGATATTGCATCCCTTTGAAATTTTAACACCTACTCCTTCTAAAATTTTATTATCTGCCATCTTTAAATTTTAATTCACCCCCCCCCCCCCCCCCCCCCCTCCCTCCTACTAAATAAAAACATGTACTTTAATTTGAAGAAGAAAAATTAATATATGTACAAGAAAAATATTTGACATTTTGATGTTCGCTAACTTTAAAAATTATTTAACTTGATTCGCTGATTAACATATCTAATATTTTTGATATAATTTATAAATTTATTTTATTTATTACCTTTTACAATAATGATATAAAATCTTAACTTTAATATTGGTGTAATAATTAATAACTGTCTCACAAAGCAAAGGGTTGTAAAAATACACTGTTAATGGGTAAAATATTAGGCTGGGTATGGTTGGAATATGTGCAGTTAATGGTGAAAGTTAGACACTAATCAACTGAAACAAACATCAATTTAATTAGGTTTGCCTTCTAGTAATAAGGTAAATAAATTCTATGGTAGAATTAACCAACTCCACTATTATATATGAATCACGGAGTATAATTCATTGGAAAAGAATTTCCCTAATAATTTTTAAAAAAATTATCAAATATAACCCTCCCCTTCCTTAGAAAAAAAATAGGAGTTTTTTCTGAAAAATTATCGTCCACCTTTATCTACAGTATACTGCTGTCATAAAATTGTCGGAAAGGGCATCCAATTTCTCTATAAAAAGATTTAAGTATACGCAACAATTTTTTTTTTAAATTTGGGGGAAACTTTCGAAACTTAAATGAACTTGTCAATATTTTAAAAATAAGAATTTTCACCTTGTAACCTTTTTTTGCACCTGAATTATTTTTCCTAATATCATACATATATACTGCCCCAAATCAAATTAATTAGCCAAAACTATAAATTATTAAGTTTTAATATAAAATTTCATATAAGAATTTTGTGATAAAGTCTTCATTTATAAATCTTATGGAGGTTTACATGCCTTTATTAAGTGTAAAATCCATAAATTATATCAATAATTTTTAAGGATATTTAAATTTTAGGAAATAATATACTCTAGTTAGACCAGTGCAACTAAGTTTCGATCGGCGGCGGCGGATTTTTAATTTTTTTTATGTGCGTTCATTGGTGCGGCAAATAATCCGCAGCCTAGTGAAAATATTTTTTAAAGAAATTTTAAATGAATTTAAATTATAATTCAATATATTACATTTTTTTATAATTTATTAAGTACTCTTAGTTCCAACATTGTCAAATAAATTTTTGTATATCACATACATCGAAATAGGCTAAAGAATTGCCTTTTTCCTCAGGTCAGAATCATACATCACATTCAAAGGAGGTGACTTGTAAAGGTTTCTAGGTGGCTGTAAAATTTTAAAGGAATATAATATTTAGAATATTGGGTCAATATTATCTATTTCGTAGAATATTCCTGGGAACGAGAGTCCCGCTGCTTTCATGAAGTCGGCGCCTATGATCACATTAGTAATATTCTATCGATTTTTAACAGATTTTTATATATTTTGAATGCAAATAAAACATAAAGCAAGAAGTATAAATAAATTGTAAATCAAATTTAGTAATATTATTATTGCCATGATTAAATATTATTTTGTCAAAATTGGTGGAAGATAAGGTTCTTTTGGCGTTGAATATTAATTCAACTATGGAAAAGACTCTTTCGCTAGGTGTACTAGTTGCAGGTTTACAATCTACTTTCCTAGATAAAATTAGTTTCAATTGCTTTTCTCCACAAAATGTTAGTGCGCCCTGTTCTGGTATATTATATTGGCCGAGTATAATATGGCATTCTTGCCCTGTATTGCTAGTGTTATATCTTCGCTGAAGGGAATGTTTACAAGCTATCTTAGCTTTCCATTATCTTCAATTTATATCTAACTCTCTGCATTTCCATCATGCTATATAAGTTTAAATATTATTAAAAATTCCAATGATGTCATAGAATTAGAATTTAAATAATCTGACATAATTTTAGGATTTTGAAATGGGAAAACTATTGTCAAGCTATTTTTGCTTTTTTTAAACCAAATTGAGCTATCAGATTCATAGATTTGTATATTTGTTTCTCTGCGGTAATAATATTTGCCGTTTGTAAGTATATGCCTGATTAATCAAGAACTTTTTATTCATTAAAGTTATAAAAATACCCAAGAGGCTGATAAAAAGAATTATTTTATAGCATTCTTCTAGTGACCCTATATTAAATTGGAACGATGGGCTTGCCTTGTTGCGAATTGAGGCAAATATTAAATTCATAGAGCTCTACTTTTGACTCAATAATGATATATAATTTATGAAATTCATCAGTCATAATTTCTTTAAGTTCCAATGTATTGTTTCTATTTTTGTCCCAATCAAATTGATTTCATTTTTTTGAAATTTACTTGAGCTTCTCAGTGAAAATCAAATAATTTAGGGAGAAATTTTAAAATGGTAGATAAATATAACCACAAGAAAAAGTTTAAATCGATATAAATTCATAAAATAAATTATCAGCATATTTATTTTTGCTATGAATGTGATAAAAATATAAATTGGTATATATATGCAATAGAGGTAGGAATAAATAAAATATTTGAAAGATAATTCACTTAGTATCTCTTTGTATTTGAAGGGGGAAGGGGTTATCCTCCTGCCTCCCTCGTTGCGTACGTGCCGGAATCTTACAGTTTTTAGGGAAAGAGAGATAGGAATAGTATTACAACCCAACTAATTTGAGATGTTTGAAAACTCTATTGAACGAAAATAAACATTCATGTAATGAAATGCATTGTTCAAATAAATCATTCTATTAGTATTTGGAATAGAATGATTCATTTTATGAGTTTTATATTTTATAAGATACATTTAATATTTAAAAAAATCTTTATTGAATCCCGCCATTTTTAAGACAAGAAAATGTTTCTGTTGACGTGTCAGCAAAAATACTCAAATACACAAAATAACATAATTCTTGGGATAAATTAGATGCAAAATATCAAGATGTTTTATCAATGGAGCTTGTTGACCTGAAGAATATATAGTTTTAGGAAGAGGAGGAGGGGGGTCTTTCAACAAGAAAACGCCGTGTTTTAATTAATACTACCAATTCATTTTATTAAACGCCGGTTTGGCTTTACTGGAACAGCCCATTAAGCTCTAATATAAATTTAAAATGTCTGGGCATTTATAAAAAGAAGACACAGGTAAACTTAGACCTAAAAACAAATGCGACTTTATGAATAAGGTCAAATATTTGTGTGAAAATTTTTCAAAGGAAAAGTGTGAAACCTTATTCAATGTCTAAAAGAATCAAAATGAGTTAACCAAATTTTAGAAGTATGATGACTAATTTAATTTTTTGAATGTTAATGGTTCATTTTGATTCAATTACTCTTTTAAATGTATCATATAACATCTCATTGATCTTTGACCAACATTATGGAAAACTAACATTTTTGAATATTTACTATATATTATGAATGTTAAATTTTAATGAGATAAATTTTGTTTGTAAAATTATTTGCTAGTTCGGCTTTCTATGATTTAGAGTAGCATATTATTTTAAGGTGTAAAAATTTGAGGCAATTGTATCTTATTATAAGTAAAATATTAGAAATGAAATAACTTATGCATATACTCCAAAATAAATGTAGAAACATTATACCCAAAAAAGTTACAAAGGATAGCACGCTAGTTTTTTCCCACATTTTCAGGGACCTGGCATGCCCTTCACACTATTCTACTGGAATACCCATAGGCACTGACTGGCTATCTCTATTGGCCTAATTTATCTCAAAATTGATTAAAATTAAGCAACATCAAAAAAGGTAACACCGTTGTGTTTCTTTTTTTTGGTAACGGCATCGCAAAACGTTACTCGTTGCATAAAGAAATTTCTTAAAAATATGGAAAAAACATTTTTATATTATAAAATATTTATTTTTTCAAATTTTATAGTAATTTTTTAAGTCAGACCAATCACCCAATTCTTTCATTTTAATTTAATTTTCGTTGTTAAATTTTCAGTCAAGATTATTAATCAAATTAATATTAAATCAATCAAGATATTAATTTTTATTCTTATTCTCTAATTTATAATTTATTTTATAAAACATATTATGTCAATTGTACATATTTCTTTAGTTGAAGACAGATGAAGATGATTAACCTGCCCTGGCCCCAATATGAGAAATTTTTTACTTCAATAAAAAAAATTAAGGATACAAAGTATACACTTTGTAAAATTGTGTCTAAACTCAAATATTTCCTCAATTGTGGAATAAATATAGGCAGTCTCTAAACTGTGCAGCCATTTAAGAAAAAAATGGGAAGATATCTGATTAAACCGTTTATAACAGATAGAACTCTTTTTATAACTACGTGAAATTAACAGTCTTATAAAGGAGAATAACCAATTTACGAATCTTGTGATAAATCTGAATTGCAGAGATTTTCAGATAATGCCAAGTCGTTTATATATATTTTCATTTGTATGGTTAGTGTTAATTAAAAAATATGGGATGTATATATGATTTTATATGTTATAGAATCTGTCTACAGCTTTTTCAATTTTAGAACATTTGGGATATCTCTCACACACAATAATTATTATAATATTAAAACTTAAAAAAATTGCTTTAAATAATTTCAAAATTTGTAAGCCACTTATTATTGCAATCCTGCCAGACATAAATAAAAGGTATACTTGAAATATTGTTTGCAATTCATATTTTGATTATATTTATTTTCAATACGAACACAACTATAAAGATGAATATATACTATTAGCAATATTCACCTGCTACTTAAATTAGTTCACCCCTGGATAAAATAATAGGTCAACGAAGGTAGAAAGCTTGAACATATTTCCAGTTTGAGAAAATATAGTTAAAAAAAACTTTGATTCCTTTAAAAAACCACACACATACCATATTTTTTCTGATAAAGAGAAATTTTTTTTGATGAAGATCTTTTTTTCTGATAAAGATAAAAAAATTTTGATGAGGATCAGAATATTCTTTTGAAGATGATCTATTACAACTCTCCTATCCTATGCGCCAGTTGAACGTGTGTTTAGCATGGCGGAAGATAAGTTGAGCCCTCTCTTGTTTATCAGATCAAAATTTTGAAGATCAATTTTTAAATATAAATAAATAATTATTATAAAAATATCTTATCTCACTATGCAGAACCATCAAAGAAAGAATTGAAAACTTTGATATTCATTTTGAAAAATTAACACCGCTAAAAACCACAAGAAACCAACTTTTAGAAAAACATCCGAGCTCAAATACACTCCTCAAATACTGCCTATAATAAATTCAAAGATAAATATCACTCCCGGAGAAGCCTTAACCGTTTTTAAATGTTTTCCAAACGATTTTGCTCCAGGACTGGATTACCTTCGACCTTCATTTATTATCGACCTCTTGATTTTAGACAGTTCCGAATTTCTACTTAATTCTTTAACGAAAATTTTTATTCTTATTATCAAAGGGAAATTACCATATAAACTAGCACCAATAGATTTTGGTGCTCGACTAATTGCGTTTGAAAAAGCTGAAGCGCGCCCAATAGCTATTGGAATTTTCTACCGATGAACCATTTCAAAAATTATTTGTAATCGACTCAAATTTACAATAACCTTAAGTTTAGCTCCTTACCAAGTTGGATTTGGAGTAAAAGGAGACTGTGAGGCCGCAATCCATTGCAGTTGCCTAGTTTTATCCAACCTCAAACCTGAATATATGGCAAAAATAGACATGTCCAATGCCTTTAATTCAATTAATATGAATAAAATGATCGATACTTTCTTGGAAACATTCCCTGACTACCACAATTACATCCATCTTAGCTATGGCATTCCTTCCTTACTCAGATTTAATAATTATATAATTAATTCTGCAGAAGGCCTCCAACAGGGTGACCCATTAGGACCGCTATTTTTTTGCTATACCCTTAAACATCTTATGATATTGCTCTCTCACACAAACTCAATCTACACGTTTGGTACTTTGACGATTGTACTATATCGGGGACCATTTCTTCAACCCAGAATTGTCTAGATATAATTAACAAACACTTTAATGAACTTAATTTATCCTTAAATATAAAAAAATGCGAAATTTATCCTTCTCCGCCTCCAACAGACATCATATTAAATAACTTTAAACGGGCGCCCTTATACGATTTCAGTACATTAGTAGCTCCATTGGGAGGTGCACAGGGAGTTTTAATTTTTTAAATAATCATCTTCAATCACTATTCCCCGAACTATCGATCTTAAAGAAATTAATCCATCAAGCATATTTCATTCTCAAAACGCCCTTTTAATACCACAAATCCAGTATTGTTTAAAAACTTCTGGTGCATTTTTTTTTGAAATTCTTTTAAAAGAATACGAACAAAAGATGCTACAAATGATGACAGAGTTATTAAACATCAAACTCGATTCTAACTCCTGGCTTCAGGCAACTCTCCCTTGTAAATCTGGAGTAGGCTTAAGATCGGCATTAAGTATAGCCCTTGTTTCCTTCATATCATCAACCAAATCAGCAAAAAATATTACCTCGCAAATTATTACCATAAGATAATTTATTAGATAAAGCCTTACGTTGTTGGAATATTAATGTCTTACCAAACACAGCCCTACCAGATTCAACGAAACAAAAAGATTGGGATCAAGGATTGGTAACTCGTTCCTTAGCTCACCTCAACTTGAGCGATGATCATCAATATAAATCCCTCCTAAGTACACTTAATTTTAACAACTCTGGCCGAATGGTTGGACTATTATTCCAGCATTTTAAATAACCAACTAATAGATAACGGCTCGTTTCGTTATCCTAAACCAATGTACTTGCATTAAGTGCAATCAATCGGCAGACGCGTATGGGAGACACGCTCTCCACTGTAAATTTATATCAAAAATCAGCCGACATGATAAAATAAATTCAATAATAGCTTCTTTTCTAAATAAAGCCAATTTTCTTTGTATTTTAGAACCGACATCTTTTTTAGATAAAAAACGCCCTGACGGAAAAACAATCGTATCGTTTTTAATGGGAAAGCTTTTAATGTGGGATTTTACCTGCATTGATCCCATGGCCCCATCTAATAATTTGCATGATCCCCTTAATAGAGCTGAATCTCTAAAAAATCAAAAATAGCACCTAATGTGTGACAACCACTTTGTTCCCATAACAGATGCATCAACCTGCTCTTTTGGATAAGCGGCATTAAATCTCTTCAAAATAATATCCAAATCAATCAAAAAATCATACCTCTCCATTTTATAAACTCAAACAGAAAATAGCTGCCTCTTTAATTATATCTAACTATCAAATATTTAAAACACCTGGCCCGACCTCGCCACCTGATTTTTTTTAAAAAAATTATTTTATATATATATTTTTTTTTAAAATTTTTTCTCATTCTTTGTATTAATTTTTTATTTTAAACTTGTACTTATATGACATATTTTACTATATACTTTATATTATACAGAGACCTGCAGGCTCGGCCCTAAGCCCGGCAAGTCCCGGCCCGGCTACCAGGGCCCTGAAAATTTTTTTTTTAAAAAAACCCGGGCCGGGCCGGGTTTTTTTTAAAAAATTTATACAACATGAATTATTATATTCGTCAATTAGATATGGTTATAATGATTATATATAGTTATGATTAATATAATGTTTGGTGAAAGTTAACACTAGCTAACACTCATAGTATCTATTACATAATAAAATTATAATTTTCCTGCCATGGAATAAATACGCAAAGGATTAAATACATTATTATATAATATATAATATAAGTATATTTTTTATTAATTAAAATATCATTTTTATTTTTTTTATAAATACATAGTATATTTTCAAAATATTATTTACACAAATTTTTTATAGTATCAATTTGTAATATACTAAATATCTGTTTAGAATAAAAAATAAATAAAATAGTGTTGTTAAACGGACTCAGTGTTTTATCCAGAAAATATTATGCAAGCCTGAAAATTTTGCTCATAGAAGGAGCAAAGGTCTAGATATATAGTATCAAAATTTTGAGACTTAGTCAATATTTTTCTGACGAAAATATTGAGTTAGCCGTTTTTTAAAATCGGCTCAAAACGAGCCGTTTAACAACATTAGCGAATATACTTGCTTATTAAATGATAATACTCGCTGAAAAATATGATAAAATACGAAATAATTAATTTTTTGTATATACCAGGTCGAATATAATTTTATAAAATTCCGAGTGTTTTTAAATCCAGGCCGGGCCGCCCCCCCCCCCAAATTATTTTTAAAATATTCGGGCCTGGCCTAAAATTGTTAAACCCGGGCCGGGCCGTAAAAAATTTTTGAAAAAAATCCGGGCCGGACCGGGCCGAAAATTTTTTAATCTGGGCCGGGCCGTACAAATGGTACCTCTGCAGATCTCTGATATTATACCATACATGTTAATTTTTAAATAATAATATTTATCATATTTGTATATGAATTTTAATAAAAATCAATAGAGTATATTATTTTTGTATAATTAATTTTTCAAGTAACGAGTAACACTTTACTTTCTTAATAGCTAGTAATGCGCGTTCCTTTTCTCACAAGGTAAAGAGTAAGGGTAAGGCGCTTCTTTTTTTTACGTAACGGTAATGCGTTTTTTTTGAAGTAACATTTACAAAACTAATTAAAATAAATATTTATGACATATAAGCTAAGTTTATTTATTCAATTAAAAAATCAAATATAATACTATTTTAAAAAGTGTAATAAATACCACTTTCTAGTAAAATCACACTGAATTTTTTGTTGATCAAATTAATGAAATTTATATGAATATCATCCTAGGCTCTTAACATTATTCGTACAAAAAATTAGAACTTACAAGTTTAGTTGGCTTATATATAGAGACATTTAATAATGGATAAGTAAGTATGGTCAGATTTTATCTATATTAAAATATTATCACTAAATGGATGAGTCCGGTTAAATTTACGTTAAAATAAGCCTGTTTAACGTAGATTTTAATAATTAAATTGTGTAGATTTTTAAATATTAATCAAGGAATATACTTTATCCATTTCATAATGATGAAATTCTTAAATAAGATACTATGGACAGTTGATATAGGGCATCCGAAAATTAACTTTAAGTAAACCCATCTAACTTAAAAATTATTCTAGATACAGCTATAATTCAAATTTTATAGACACATGATTGGCTATAAATTTGTATTAAACTCAATTGTTAATCCTTTTCTTTGAAAAAATTAAAATCATGGCTAGTCACCCCACTTTTCCCATTGATTAGAATTAATATTTTATGAACGAATATCAAATAATAGATAATATTAGAATGAAGGATATTAAAAATATTACATGTATAAAATGAATCATTATTTTACCAATAATATAGGAAACAAAAACACGGCCAAGAAGCTAGAGAGCCAATTGAATCCCACTGCTATACTCATTCCTTTTGGTCTCGATGATTGGGTAAATAATTCAGCTGGAATGAACCACGCGATCACACCTACAGATCATGCATATATCATATATAATTAAATAATGAACTATTAATGAGATTTTATATCACATATAATGTGAATATTTTGCCGGCATTAAAATTTATAAAACATTTTAACCGAATAATATTTGTTACTACTATTACTTTATTACTTTTCAAAATATGAGTCTTATGATAGATAAATAGCCCTGATCTTTTTCAAAAATGTTTCAAAACCAATTTTTTATTAAAAAATTAACATATTTTTTAAATACTAATTCAGACACGGAATCAAATCAGAGTAAGGCAAAGATATCAAATTTGAAGGCCATATTAATATTTTTTATTAACATTAATTTATATTTATAGACAGAATCATTGAGTTTATTATTCAATAAACGTATTTAAAACAAAGGTCATATAAAAAAACAATTAACATAAAAATATAGCGCATATATCATATAAATTTAAAACAAACAATAAATTTAATTTAATTTAATAAAAAACAATTAAGAGATCGGTTTACTTGCATTGCTATATGGAACCATAAATAGCAATGCATCACTTTGCTGAATAGCCATCGTAATGGCTTGTTTGATAGAAGGCTTCATTACGATCGCCACTTATTTGGCTTAATATTTTCCCTAATAATGTGATAAATTTAAGGAATTCTTCATCAAAAACACCTATTGGCGACAATTGAGATACAAATTACACGATGTCTTCTGCCTATTTGTTTATTTTCAAGATTTATACAGAAATAACTGATGAGGCATTTCTGTTGGATCGCTCCAAAAATTTATAGCATGTGTAATCCTAAGCTACTGGAAGACCAGCAAACCAAGGTATTCGGTTGATACTATCAGGTATTCTATTGTTATTTATGTATAAATAATTGGGCTCTATGATATTTGATATGTTGGCCCTTTTAAGAGCTTTTGAGATTAAATTATTTATGTTTGTCGTGGAGACGGTCTTAAAATAACTACAATGTAAAAGATAGTGCCCTTTGGAATTAGATAGTAAAGAATAATAAATACATTTAGAAGGAAGTGATATATCCAGCCAAGACGAAAAGAAATAGCTATACGAAGTTCTTCATTAGTGAAAAGATAGCCAACAACCATTGGTATACCGATTTAGAATTCAGGAAAGCTTGGCTAGACATTGCTCTAATAAATTCATAGTAGGTAGGAAGACACTATGGCAATATCTTATGCTTTCTGAAGGGTGAATGTGGGTCTGCTAACGTCAAGTTGTCCCTTGTTCACCCACGTGAGCACATATCGAAATCTTTTGTAATGTATTTTTAGTAGTCATAGAATTTTTCATTTTTTTATTTAGTATCCAAAATCAAAATCATGATTTATTTTGTATTTGAAATGGTTGATCTTGAGGAGATAAAAGCAGTAAGAGAGAGGTGGGGTGGAGGGCGGAAACCAATCCCGCTAGATGGAAGAGAGACCTGGAACCACGATTTGTCTGAAAATTTTATAATGACATAAAAAATATGTTAGGTGAATTATTAATTTTCTTACTATATTGATTATTATCGCGTAAAATTTATGAGGTTTCTATTTTTTATATAAAATTGATATAAATTATATTCCTTTTATTTTATTAGATATATGAATCGGGGACAATCATTAAAGCTATTAAAAGTATAATATATATTGTAAAAGTTAAAAAAGACACCATCCCTTGTTGAGAGATAATTAGCATATTTAAAAGACCATTTTTGAGGATAAAACGAGTCGAATTTTCAGTTTTAATAAATAGTAAAATTTCTCATATTATTTTTTTCAGATTCTGCTTACATAAAAGTTAAAGTATCGCGATGTATATTTGATGCTCTATTTGTATCCATAATGGATATATTTTTAAGATTTCAATGTATCGTAGTCCTTTAGCTATAGATTTTATGCCAAAATTGAAACATTTCCGATATATTTTGTCTTAAATATAATATAATCCTTTTTAATACAAATTTATATATAAAAAAAATTATATAAACTAAAATTATCAAAATATAAAATTTATTTCTAGGTATAAAATTAAACAAATCAAAAATAATTGTTTAATATTAAATGAAATTAAATCTACGTTATTATACAAATTATATTTTTTTATATTTTTTATAAATCTTTTACAAAATTCAAATACCATGAAATCATGATTAATTTTAATCAACAAACATTACATGGTATCTTTTTAATAAATTAATTTCTTATTTGTAAAGATTAACATTAATATCCGATGATATATACTAGCTGTAGCTGCCTGGTTTCGCCCATATTTCATAGAATGGGGTAGATCCAACACCAAGCGAATTAAGAGTAAAAAATTATGATAGTTAAGGATATATCAGCTTTTTCAGTGTATTCAAACTGCGAAATTTTTTTTAAAAAAGACTGTCTTTAAGATAAAATTTTTAATGCAAAACAAAATCTAGGCAATTTGTCTCATACAGACTAAATATTAAGCAATTATTTTAAAATACAACATTACATCTAGCGATAGACGTAGGCAAGTGGGGGTAAGGGGAAATCCCCACTTCAAAAATTTGTCTGGTCTCGCAAATATCTTCATAAGCTATTTCCACCTACCCACACCCTGATGCTTAGCTATTTTGCCGGGTATGGGTAAAATGGCGAAAATAGCACACTTCATATAATTAATCAAAGATCCTAAAGTATTATTGGTATAGAACTATACCTTTTTATTTTGTAGATAAGGAATTTGGCTACATATAAATCTATAATTTGTTTTGATTTGTAATTGTCAATCGACCCAGGTACTCCCTATTTATTTTGATATTTTAAACAATAAACCATTACTCTCAGTAAAGCTTACCCGTTTAAGATTTTATCATAACTACAAAAATCTTCGACGAATAAAATATATAAAAATGCTGAACAAAATTGAAAATTTAATTTAGTTGGTTTGAATGAACGATAATTGGAAACTAGGCTATATCTAAATTTGGCCAAACCTAATTAAAGATATTGAATTTAATTCACTATAAATTTTTTTTAGTCTAGTAAGTTAGAAGAAAAGACTGAATATACCCCAGTCATTTAGATTCCAAAATGAAATCCTTGTTACACCACTGCGAGGGACGCTTTGATTGGATTATAATTATTTCAAATATTAGGGAAATTAATTTTTGATTTTTATTATTAATTTTTTGTTACTTATATTAGGTTAAATATAAAACATTCTGAATAAACTTTTTTAATTTGGTAATTTATGAATCCTTAAATCCTTCCAATACAAGAACTCTGATGGCTGTCATTAAACAAGTCTCTGGTGGAAGGCATAGAGAGGAATTCAGAATAAAAATGCTAATACATACTTCCTGCAGAAAGTGAGTACCCAAAAATGTTACAGCGAAATAAATGTAGCTTAGATTTTCCTACAGGGGGATATGGGGTGCCCCATCCTTATTTCATTGGAGTATTTTAGTTTCTTTTATTGCAGGCCTTTGGTCGGATTATATTTTTAATTAATTCAAAAAAACAGATAACTGCAGCACTGTTAAAATCAGCAACGAATTAGGGTAATGCGCCCCTTGGTCATTCCACAGAACTTCTTTTAATGTATTATTCCCACTAAATTTTAAGCAAATGCATTTCAATTATTTCAAAGAACAAAAACATTACTTCAAAAGCATATCAGGCTAAGGACTGAGGTTATCTAGGATCATAATAATAATATTAATTGGTAAATATAAATTATTTTCTTAATCTTGATTGAACTAGGTATGGGCTAAGGCCTGGGTTATTACTGTTTGTATAGATTAAGTAGGGATAAAAAAATCGGTGGGAAGGAGGGTAAACGTTTTTTTAATTCTTGTTTTGAAAATATAATTTGCAATTTTTCAATATCATAATAATTTTAAATATAAATAATCTAAGTATTTTATTGGAAATTTTTCATTATCTCATCTTTTTATAATTTGCTCATTTTTTTTAAAATGTTTATTTTTTATAAAAAAATAATTTTTAAATTAAATTTATGAGAATGTTTCAAAATTTCATTATAATGATTTTTAAACATGTTATTTTCTTTTTATATATAATAAAAAACATCATTTTATTTGGATTTTTTTACATCTCGAAGTTAGACTTATATTAATTTATTTATATGTTTTGCTTGAGTTTCCAGAACTAGGTATGTACTAAGGCTTCGTAGTTACATGTCTGCATAATCAATCAGGTTCTTATAACTGCATCGTCATTAAAATTAGGAAATCAATCTAAATCTACTGATTCATGATTCAAGAAAATGTAATTAATAAATATATAAAAATAGATTTCATAATCACACCGAAAATAGGGACAGGGTAAAGTCTGGGTTGCCTACTATGATAAGTATTATATTTGGGTTATGTTAATAAGAATTAATAAATATAAATGTTTTGCTTAACCCGTAGATAAGTAAGGACTATGGTCAAAGTTGTTTACCTGTCGTTATAAACAATCAGATACTTATGACCAGCCTCCCCGCTAAAATAAAATATATTTATATTCCTAGCCTCGCGATAATATTTCACGCGAAAAATATGGAAATGCGCGATATTAATCACTGTAACGCATTAAATAATATATTCATGATTATATATTTGCGGAAATGCGATTTTGATAATGATTTTATGTAATATATTCGCAGAATTGCATTTTTTAATTAAAATATCTTTTCGCAGATGTCTTTAACGGAAAAAACTGTCATTTTATATTTGAATATAAATAGCCACTTCTATCATCAGCACCTATGTGTTTATTATATTAAAAGTGGAGGGATTTAAACGATAAGAAAAATCCATAAAATTAAAATTATCTACTATTTAGTTTGCAAACTAGATAGTTTTTACAAATTGGACCGCTTTTGTTTTGCATTTCATAAACAATGTTTTAAATAGTAACTTGAAAATTGTTAAACCTATTTTTTTGAGGTAAAAAAAAGACAAAATAGTTTGTATATTTTTCAAATTTGAAAAAAATGCGATTTTAATTTAAACAACGAAGCGTTTTAGAAAACAACACTAAAAATTTCTATTGCTCAATTTGTAAACACTATAAGTTACATAGGCACCGACTTTATGGGAATAGCGGGGCTCGAGCATAATTATATTTCAAACTAATGGGTATAATTCCTGAAAATAGCTATATAATATCTGTTTATAAAATTTTATTTTCAGATGATAATCAAATAAAAATCTAGTAATTTTATATAAAATAATGGTTGGAATAAGAAGCTTAAGTTTTAGAAAGGCCCCTTAATATATGATTCTTCGATAAGATGGTTTACAATCTTGATTCCAAATAGCTTTATTAGCCTTTCAAGAAAATAGAGCCCTCTATTAGGCTTATTTTTTTTTAGATCCGATTCGATACGAAAAAATTTTTTTCTCACCTATCCGACCCTATTATTTTTTCCCCCAATGATTCAGGTCTGATATGATCCAAAATTTTATAAAATGGGCCCGATCAGATTCGAACCTTTTTTATTTGACTGTTGTAAAAGTACCATATTTCAATAATAAACAATTTTGTGGTTATTCTTGAAAAAAATATTCAAAAAAACATTAGGAAAACAATATAATTTAATTGTCAACGCCGGAACCCGATTAGGTCCAAAGTAAATTTTAAAATCAAGATCCGAATCCGACCAAGTTTGAGAAAATTCAAACTCGAAATTGAATTAGCTAGTGCAGGGGTCTACAAAAAAAACTTATCCTTTCGTTCTTAGCTAACTTTCCCAGAATTATGATCTAATCATTAAGACTCACGGATAGATCCAGCAAGCCACTCTTTATAAATGATTTAGAAGAATGGAGGAAACGCGTTCAAAAATTATCGACTGAGCTACATATTACTCACTAAAATATTAAAGACTGTTAATTTCGATGATATTCTTCATTTCTTTACATTGTTTAATAAAAAATAAATATCATCATCAGCTTAATGTTTTACAAAGCCATAAGAGAGGATTGTTATTAAGTTAGGAAAGCTAATTATTAAAACCCTCTTTTATGTTTTTTCAAAAATTGATAATGTCAGAAAAATTAATGATACCAAACCTATAAACATGGTAAAAATATTTTTTTTATATAAAAATTTCGTGCTAAGGCTATTAATAAGCATCATATTTTTGTCTTATCAAAATAATTTTTTATTATTATGAGTTGATTTTTTCATTATAGTTATATTATACATAAAATTCTATTAATTCTTTGAAGAAATATTTAATAGGAAAACTCGATCAATAAATAAAAATTGAATATTTAAAAAAAAGAAATTAAATACTGAAATATGAAAGTTAGAGAATATCCATCCCAACAAATTTTGATTGTATTTTAAGTATTATAATAAAAATTCTTATATAAATTACTTGGTCCAATTGCGCAAAATCCTACATAGCCGAATATGAAAACAACTCCTAGTAAAGAGACCCATTCTAACCCATGTCTATTTCCAATACCCAGACTTATGGTTATTAATAATGTGCAGAACCACATACCACCCAATCCGGTTAAGAATAATGTCCTTCTCCCTGCCTTCTCTATAATCAATAAAGACAAGGTGCATAGCAAAAAATAGAGTAGCCCCAAAGCTAAGGTTATATATGTAGCATATCCTACGGCTACTCCCGCTGATATAAATAATGCCGTGGAGTATGAGAGTACCTTTTTGTAATTTAGTTTAACAAAAAAAATGCTTTACCAAAATTTTTGAACATTTTTATAAATATAAAAATATTTTTAATTACAAAAAAATTGAGAATGTTTCAATCCCTTTTAGAAAGGTCTGCCTTTGTTAATGAATAATACTAAGTAACAATTATTATAGTAGACCTGAGGACCACCGGCTTACTCTGCGGCCAGCGATTTTCCCCACACTGAACCTGCATATTGAATTAAGCTGCGTCAACAGGCTCGCAGCCAATTTTAATGTTTAAAATGCCTTAATTATATTTTATATGTATAAATTTAATGAATCTTTCATTATATATTAAATTATTATTTTTTACATTTGAATATTAAAATTAATAAAATTAAAATGAATTTTACTGATATGTCTACTACGTATCAGGTCAATTCAGCAAAAATATTTCGCGAAACTTATCGCGGATGTCGTTAATTGCGAAGGAATTTTATAACGAATGTAATAGAGCAAAACCAATTCCGATAATTTTTTCCCATGAAACATTTATAGGAAGACAATATCGCCAACCCATTATCGCGAATTTATTTTAGCAAAACTTAACTTCGAATACATTTTAGCGATTATCGCAAACTCGTTATGGCGAAACTTATATCGCTAACCCCTTGTAGAGAATTTTCCACCGCGAATGTATTTGTGTGAAGTATTATACCGAACGCACTACCGCGAAATAATAAATATATTGAGAATGCATTTTTTAAGGAAAACAACAACATATTCAATATTAATTCCAAATTCTTAAATAAATGCGAAATGCTTTAAGGATCTTATGTTACTTATTATTTATTAAGTATGCATGTAAGCTTTAGCTGATGTCATAAAAAATAAATTAGTCAATTTTTTTCTGGTCACTTTTCACTCATGGTTATAAGAGGACATTTTGGTTCAGGTTTTTAGCCCAATAAATTTACCCCCCCCCCTTGCCCCAATATGATCATATAGACGATTTTGCTAGGTAATTTTTTTTTAATTTTCTCAGAATTTTTTTTTTTAAATTTTCAAAGTTAATTTTTTTTAAAGATTTTTCTAAATTGTTTTAAAAAAAAATTTTCTCAAATTTTTGAATCCAGGGATAAAACCTGAATGTAAATTATTTATAACGTCTAATATGATTTATTTTTAAAAAAAGTTTCGTGGAGATTCATACGACATTTTTTGTTTCCCAATTATAATTATTTTCACATAATGTACATCGATATAACCTTCTGATATATAGTGAATCTAATTCATTTGAAGATTTTGACATTCCCTCTGTCTTCTTTCCGTATCTCAATAAATATAAATAACTGCAAGTTATAATTAATCAAAGCAAAAATTCAAAATATTCAATTTGGATAAAATAAATTTGTAATTGTTTACGAAAGAATGAATTTTAGGAAAATTATGGAAATAAATTATTTGATCCCCAATAATGTTCTTGCTTTTTGTTTTTGACGATTTCGCATATTTCATTAATATAATCTTTCTCTGTGTGATTCAAACTCCTTCGTATCACTAAAATTATTTATTATACAACCTTCATTTTCATCTTTAAAATCCTCCTTATTTTGATTCTCATGGTTAGATGGCTCAAAGTAAATTAATGCTGCTAGATGATCTTTCTTCAGCAGTAGTTATATAAATTTTATATAATTAATTATAGGATTTATACTTTATAAATAATTAACAATTTTGTAATAAATTTTAAAATATAATAGATTTTATACTTGCTTGAGTTTCCGGTGTTCCAATGTATACCAAGAATGATTAAATTTCAAAGTAAATGAATATGAAAACAATCTTCTCTTTAAGAATGAGAGAAGGAATATTTCTGTTTTTCGCTTAACACAAATGAATGAAAACAAAAAATTCTTCTTTTCTATGAAAGAGGGAAAATTTCTGTTTTAAAACCATTTTGTAATAATAAACACCAGTTCAACTTAAATAAAAGTATTTTTAGGAAAAACAACGCTAAAACTCAATTTGTAAGCACTTTGAATCAGGATTTTTTTGAAAATAAATATAAATAGAAAATGTTTCAGATCAAGAAAATAAAGCTGTTTAAATATCGGGACGCCCTGCAAAAACAGGTTAATAGTTTATAATGAAATCTTCATACTTGTCCGTATTGGCATATATTCGGGATTACCAGCTCGAAAAGGCTACTAAGATTAGGAGGTAAGAAACTATTTGAACTCCGTGATCAGTGAATTACGCGCTTTATGAGAGGTGAAGGTAGTGGCATTGAAATCTAATAAATTAATTTGGAGTTTGAGTATTATTCAAAGCTTCATTCTTAACTGAATTATTTTTATTTGGTCTCCATTTCTATTGTTCTCGGGATGATTATGTATTTCTTTATTATCTTTTATCTTATCGTTTTTTTATTGTAAGTCCTACGAGACATTTAAATATCTTCTCCAAGGCATCTTTAATAGTTAGTTTTTGAGGCACATTTTCCAGGCGAAACAATCCATTTTTAATTAAGCATTTAAAACCTATTGACAATAATTTAAATGATGAAATGGTGTTTGAAATTGAAGCTAAGACTCAAATATCAAACTCATTTATTGCAAAAAAATATCGAAAGTATTATGGGTAAAAATTCGAATAAATTTTGAATAAGAATGTTATATTTTACTTGGTTAATATGCTTACAAGAACCTGATGCTCTTTCCTTTTGGAAAAAAGTAAATGGCCCACTGGCTAATTTAGTTAGAAAAATTATTTGCTTCCCTGAAAAAAATACGACTAGCGAAATTTTTTTATCCCTAGATTAATATTTAACGCCAGAAGAAACTATGTCCAATCAATTTTATTAAAATAATATTTATTTACAATAATTATCATTTAGCGAAATTTGATTTTTAATTTATATACCTTTACATTCGAAATTTATCTGATAATATTATAGTTATTATAAATAAATTTGTTTTACTATTGATTATACTAATAAATTTATAAAATATTATATAAATGAGGAAAATTTTTCCATTAATCTATTTATGGAGAATGAGAAAAATACATAAATTTATAAAGGGTTGGACACGAAAAAGGTTTCAGAAACTCTATTAACAATGATGAAACTAAGCGTGTCTAAATAAATTATATAAAATACATTGAATTAAATAATTACATTCTTTAATTTTTTTTAAAATGCATCGCCAATTTTAGGGCGGCAATGTATTCGGCGTGCTGACGAAAGCCGATAAAATATAAAGGCCTTTGCCGCTGACGGTGCACAGGTCTATTAAGAATTCATATTAAAATAAAAAATATAACTTTAAAAATAAATCATATTAAAATTTATAAATATTTTTACCGCACTTATAGCAGTTAACTGTTGTGATATGCTGGTCTCACTAGCAATTATTAGAGGTTTTCTATAAACCTGCTTCTTGACCATATCAGCCCAAGTTACCGGAGGCAATCTTTTTTGATCCTGATATTCCACTTTCATTTGTTCTATTTCGTCCTCTACGTCAGGAGAATTTCTCAAAATTATGAGAGCTAGAACATGCATTATTTTTTTAAAAATAATCAATTTTGAGTTTAATTATTTTTAAATTAATATTAAAAAAGACTTTTAAATTTAAACTGTTATCTTTCTGGAAAACCTTTTTTCGCGTTCTGCTCTTTTTCCTTGTATATTAAAAGATATCTCGGAGATTCGGGCAGAAATGGGAGAAGTGATATCTGAATTATTGCTGGAATGATGGTTAATGCTTTGCAAAATAAATTAAACAATTATTATTAATTAATATTATCCAAAAAAAAATACAAATTATTATTTTAAAATATTATTCTGCCTGTATTTTAAGAACTATTAGCAATCCCATCTTCCATATTTATATAATGATCGTTTTTATATTTGTTATTTTTTAAATTATCATAATAAAACTTAAGCTTATAAAAAATACGTTATATATTACCGAATAATATAGGCCAAAGCTGGCTTGTGCCCATAACTTGTGGTAATCCCAATAATTGCGAAATTAATATAGCGAAGCTTAGCATTACTTGGTGAGCTGAACACATAGATCCTCGCAAATTCGTGGGCGATATTTCCGCTAAATATATAGATACTGCACCAGATGTAACTCCTTTATTCATTTAAAAGTTTAATGGAAGGGATTTTAAAAAAACTTCTTTAAAGGTATCAATAGGGCCTTTAAAATTTTATTTTTTGAAAATCTTAGTGTTAAACTATTTTAATCATTTTAATTACTCGATGAAATATATGAATTCAACAGCTCAAACTACTAAATGGACTAGGTCACTTTAGTTCAAAGATTAGAATATAAAAAATATAGAGCCAAAAGAAATATTGATGATATTGAGTTTCCTTTGCAATTGCAAACATGCAAGACTTTAAAGATGAATTATTAAAAAGAAAATCACTTAGTCTGCTTCCAATTAGCGATGCCAAAATTAATGATGATAGCAATATACATAAATAATATTGTGTAATAAAGTTAATATTTCTTCAGTAATATTTACATTCTTGCGAAAAAATGGTAACTAGTTACTTATGAAAAATAACTAGTAAACTGTAACTACTTCAATTTTTATAAATGTAATGAAAACAAGTTACTATAGTTTGTTTTTTATGCTTTAAAATATGTTAAGTTAGTGGTTTAATTAACATAGATGAAAATAACGGAGTTATCTGTTTCAAAATTTACCGAGTAACGTGTAACGCGTTTTTTTTGAGCAAAAAGTCACTTGTCACTTTAAATTTTTTCTTAAAAAATATGAATTTATTTTATTATATATTAAATTATATTTTTTTAAATTACATAAATAATTTGAGCCGAGTTTTTTAATTCAGATCAATTACCAAAGTTCTTCATTTTATTTTATTTATTATATTTTGTTTTTGAATTTTATAAAGTCAAGATTCTAATTAATATTGAATCACTCAAGGTATTTTAATTTGTATTCTCTAATATTATAATTTATTTTATAAAGAGTATATGTCAATAGCACTTATATCATCAGATAACGATGATATAATTTTATCCTGACCATAGTGTGAAACCTTTTTTTACATAAATAAAGATCTATTTCAAATACCAAAAATAAAAAAGAATGTGAAGGTAAAATGAATTTAGAATAAAATCTGTATTAGATTTTAAAAAATGGATGATAATCTGAATGGAGATTATTGTAAAAATGATCTAATAAGATTATTTGAAAATAAAGATCACTTTAAATATTTATTATTAACTCCCCCAATTAAATTTGTTTATTTATTAAGTATTTGTGTAAAGTAACGCCAAAAAAGTAACGTTATTAACTTCGTTACCTTTTTGAAGAAAAGGAACGAAGGTAACGAGTAACAGTAATGCGTTTCTTTTTTTGAATAACGGTAACACAAAACGTTACTCGTTACTTTAAATTTTTTTAAAAAAATATTAAAAAACTAAAAACATATTTTATTGTACTATGAAATTACTTTAATTTATATTTTGATATGAATAATTTAACGATATTTTAATTCATATCAACCACTATTCCTTCATTTTTATTTTAAATTCTCGTTGTTAAATTTTCAGTCGAATGTTACTCTAATTAATATTCAATCAAAATTCAAAGTAAATGCTAATAATAATATTATTATCTATTTTATAATTTATTTTAGGAATATTATGTCCATAGTACTTACTTCTTCAGATGAAGATGATTTAATCCTTCCCTGACCCCAATTTAAAACATATCCCTTTATTACATATGACTACTAATCAGTCACATAGTGAATTTTCTGACCCTTAATTGTGTCTTATAAGTAACATTCCTTTTATATAAAAATCATTTTTTTAAATAGAAATTCTTATATTTATTTAAAGTGCGAGTATTTAATGTCAGCTGTTCCCTATATTTCAAAATTGAGATTTTTCGTAATTTTTAATTACATTTTTTTAATATTAAACTCTGATATTTGTTCTAGGTATATGTACATTATTATTGTTATTAATTTTAAGAAAATAATATTGTTTTTTTTATGTATTGGATATATTTTTTTATTATTGATTCAATGTTAGATTTTAGTGTTTGAAAAATAAAAGATTTTGTTTCTTTCGGTTTGAGTAAAATTTTTCTTTGGTTCGAATATAATTCGTTTTCAGGTTCGAGTATAATTCGTCTTTGGCTTCGAGTGTAATAATTCCAAAAGTAAGTATAATCCCAAAAATATTATTTTTCAAAAAAATATGAACCAGATAACTAAAATATTCCTATATTCTTTTCCTTTTTTATATTTAAAAAAAATTTAATTATTAATCGAATTTATGTGTGTTATTAATAAGACTCTAATATGATTTCATCATATGTTTATTCTTCTGATGACAGCTTTTTAAAGGATGGCCACGATATTGAGGATGATAATTCAATATTTTCAGATATTTTTACTATTATAAATAGACGAAGAGATGGAAGGAAAAAAATTTAAAAATCCCTAAAATTTATCTAAAATTCAATGGAAAATCCACTTTATCCAACGAGATACTGGCTTTACATAGTCTCTATCAATGTTTTTTTTGAATGATAATTTCCTAGATTTAGTAGTTCTCGAATCAACCAAATATGCAACAATAAAAAATATTAACAAACCTATAAAAATTTCTACAATGGAGTTAAGGAAATTCATTGGGATTAATATTTTCATGTCCAATTACCATCCATAAGAGACTATTGGAATGTAATTGGCAATGATCTAAAGACGATGACTATCACTAAATTTGAAAGCATTCTATCCATTCTTCATTTTAATGACAATAATAATTTTGTAGCAAAAGGTCAACCAGGCCATAATAGGCTTATAAAAGTAGTCTCAATTGTGAAACACTTTCAAGATAGGTTTCGTACAATTCCTAAAGAGGAATGCTTATCAATCGATGAGAAAATTTGCTCAACTAAAGCTCGTATACATTTAAAACAATATATATAAATGGAGCTTTAAATTCTTCATTCTATGCAGTGTATCAGGATTTAACTATGATTTTGAACTATATTCTGGGCAGGAAAATGATTCTGAAAAAAGACCAATAACAGAACCAGAATCATCAAAGGTGCAAAATCCACTATGTAAAGGCGTTACACATGTAAAATGCTCGAAATGCCAATGCGCGCTATGTTTCCATGGAAATAAATACTGTTTTATTTTATTTCATACCAATATATAAAATACAATAAATTGTTTGTGAAATACAATTTGTGACTTATATGTAACATACATTATTATGGTCAAAATAAAAAAAATAGTAAAATTAAAAAAAAAAATTTTGAACAATTATCGATTAATATATCAAAGGGAATACCTGCGAATTTTTTCTAACTTATTGCAAACATCATGTGGTAAAGGGTTAAGGGTGCAAAGTCTACACTTTGTAAATGTAAATTATGTCCCAACGCAGATATTTCTACCTCAATGTCAATAGGTTCAAACTTAAAAAAGCATATTAAAGTAAAAAGATGAATTAATATATTATTATTTTAAACATTACTTTAAAATAGAATATTAAATTCGGTATTATAAAATAACCAATAAAAGATGTATTATTTCATAAAATTTTGAAAAGCTTAATCATTAAATTAAAATATAAGCAATTAAATTATGGCTGGAACCAACATTAAAAATCCAAGATTAACAAAATATTGGTATTGGTTATCTTCTATTTCTTGTTTTAATATTGCTATTGGTTTAACTTCAAATTGTTAAAAAACTCTGTTTAAATAAATATGTATTTTTAAATACATATATACAGAATAAAACTATGAAACAATATGGTTTTAGAGAACTGAACCTAGATATTTTTCCCTGATTCATTTTTAAATGATAATTCTGAAAAAGATAATAAATTGAAAAATTATCTTTGGCAATCATAATTTCAACATTTAATGTTTTCCTTGACAATAAGCTTAGTGAGGGATTAAAAAATGTAATTAAATTATTAATAAATTTATCCTCAATTATTGAAAAAGCTAAGTTATTTTTAATAAAAAATAAAGTAATTAATAAAATTTTAATTAAAAGATTATAGACTGAGATTAATGAACATTTGAGTAGTAATAAAAAGAAAAAAATTGAAGCCAAGCAATTCACTCATTGAAATGCAGAATCCACCTACATCAAAGATAAAAAAAAACACAATCAGCTGTTGATGAATTAGTTTTTAATTTTGTAATTGAAAAATTACAACTATTTTATTTTGTAGAAAGCACTGCATTTTTTAATATTATCAAAAAATTGCAGCCTACTAAAAATGTGATATCTAGGCATACCCTTGTATTAAAAATTAACAAAGCATTTGACACCATGGCAAAGAAATTAGTGAATTTATCGTGTGTCCCAAAAATTATCTGTATAACTGTGGTTTCTTGGTCAGCTTATCATCGATATATAAAATATATATTTTATAGATTGATAATATTGCCTTTTAAAAAGTTCGTATTTAGGGATAACGGTACATTGGTTACACCCAGACACTCTTGAGAGGGTTTCAGCCTGCTTAGCTTGTAAAAGACTAAACCAAAAACATACATTTGACTATCTAGCAAAAATAATCTTTGAAATTTTTACCACATATAGAAATTATATAAAAGCTTTAAAGTAAATATGATATATTTATTAGAGTGTATGAACAAGAAGAGGAATCGAATGATGAGATAGTTCCTCTGCCATTATTTGATCTATTTTAAAATCAAAATACTAATGATAGTATTTTATACTTACCTAAGCATCATTCTTGTTTAGCACACACTTTAATTATCATTGCAAGTGTTGACGTTGAAAAGGCAGGTAACGATATCCATTTTAAAACCATTTCAAAAATTACATTTTATAAGTGTAAGCTATTGTGGAATAAACATGGGCAATCTTCAAACTGTGCAGCCATTTTTAAGAAAAACATTGGAGGATATCTGATTAAACCGGTGTTATAACAAAATGGAAATCTTCTTTTATAACTCCATGAAATTAATAGATAGTCTTATTAAGGAGAATTGCCAAAAATTTGAACAATCTTGTGATAAATCTGAATTACAGAGATTTTCAGATTACGACAAGTCATTCTTGAATGAATATTGTATGTAATTAAGAAATATGATATGTA